ATGAATAGTTTCTAGATTAATCATCCTATTTTGAACAAATTAAACTCAAATGAAATAATGAAACAGTGATAATAGATCAAAAATTTAAAGAAACAAGACATCCCCTCCAAATACTCTCCATTAACACCATTTTCTTAGAAAATTTGACGATAGCTACCAAGCTTTATTTCTTCCAACCATAAACCTACATCCTGGCAAAACAAGAGGAGTAACAAAATGTCAGTCATTGTTGCATTCCCTCGTGGACGTATTTTATTCCTCAACCTCGTGTTTTTTCGTCTCCCTGTTGAGATTTGTCCAGCAATCCACTGTCCCCCTGAGCTACATGTTTTGTCCTCCCCTTTCCAACTTGGCGCATACGCCTAAAATTCTAGATATTTCCTTGATATATAATGTAAAATTGATGAAACAACTCATGAGACTTGTATTACTAAGCTAGTTACTTTGTATGTATGAGGTGTTACAAAATGATCTTGTAGATATTGTGGACCAAATCTTGACTCTAGAAGGTAATAATAAAATGGACAGACTTTGGTGAATGGTTGAGACAGAGAGTTTACTGTTAAATCAACATGGAACAACATAAAGACACATTGAACATGGGAATGATATGTATATATTCTATATTTGGATAACTAGTCATGCCATTCAAATATCTTTCTCTATGTGAAGAGCATGACAATTTAAAATTTCAATTGACGATAAGTTGTTATTAAAGTGTAGGTGTTGCACTGATTCAAATTAGGTTTTTATGAAATTGCCAACAGTTTGTAGATAAGGTAAAGTTTGAAAATATAAATTGTTGAACACAAATTCATCAATATACAAGAATAAGGGTTTGAAGCAAAGCAAAATTATATGTTTCATTACTAATTCTAAGCAGTAACAGGAGAGAGCTAACCACCATGACTGATATACCAAATTTTCGATCAATCAACTAAACCCCCAACCCTTAAGTCAGACGAAAATGGGAAAAAGTACCTGAATACGAGGCAGTGGCATACGAAAATGGATTCAAGAAGCATAGCAGAGTCTCTCCTCATCTATCTCGCCACCATTTCGAATTTGAAAATAAAAAATTCCTCCCAGGACATAGGAATATGCTTGATTCTCATACCAATCCAACCAATTGCTATTGGAATTGTTGACGCCGCTCGCCACTGTCATTTGGAATCGATTGTTGCCGCTCGAATTGCTGAAGACGTCGTTTGGCTGCTTCTAAGATGAAGCTTGTGAACGTTACTGCCAGCTGTGATGTTAACGTTGGGAATATTATATTGCTGATCTTTTGAAAATGATGGATTGGGCCGGGTCGGTGTAATTTGGTGGGCTGGAGGGGTTAGCTTAGGAACTGGATTGGGTGAAAAGGAATGGGCTGCTGAGTTTGCAAGCAAGAAGGGAAAATGGGATGAAAAGTTTGAGGGAAATATTGGCCAAAAAATGGCCCTTTAATATAAGTTGAAAGACTTGGTAAAGAAGTGGCTACAATTGCATTACAAAAACTTTGCCGATCTGAACTTAATTAGGATAGATTTGGCTAGTTATTAAATGATATGAATTGATATCAACCAGTTAACAAGCTTCTTAATTTTAACGACATCTTATTATGGAACTTAAAAGAGGATCTGATGTATATTCAAAGTAGGGGTGTACATGATCAGGCTAGTTCGGGTTTTTCTAATATCAAACCAAACTATTTGTGTCGGATTTTTAAATTTACAAACCTAACCAATAAAACTCAGTTTTTTCAACCTCCGATTTTTTGAATTTTTCAAATTTTCGGGTTGTTTCAGGTTTTTCCGGTAAAGTATTCATACAAACATATAATTTACTTGTACTTCAAACATTTCTTTAGTCCTACCAAAATACAACTATCTAAGGTATTTCCTAAAAAAATAACACAAAATATAATATGATTAATGACACTAAAATATCCAACAAAAATAATAATAATGAAATCACGTAAAACAAATATTGCAAATTAACAAGTCATAATGAAAATGATCATAATTTAAAAGTACTAAATCATGCTAAAATATGTTTAATAAGTATTAGTTGCATGACTAAATATTAAAGGAAATTAAAATTAGATTATGTATTTTAATTGTCTAAACCAATGTAAAATTAAAGAACAAATATTCAATATTATTGTCATTCTTAGTGTTGAATTGATTTTCATTTTGCATTAGTATCAATTTGATTTTGATTTAAGCTTTATTATATACTTACCAACATCCGTGAACTATAATCTTTATTGGACCATTCAGAATTCTAAGTTTCAAACTTGAAATAATATATTAAAAGATAAAAACTATGAAAAAGTATAAGAAATATTTTAAAATTATATCAAAGTAAATATTTTTATGTATAAAATAAAATTTTAAAATTATATATATAATGTGGGATTAGTTTGGTCTCGGGTTGATTTTTTTAGTTAAAATCAAACCAACCCAAATATAGTCGGGTTTTTTTTCAATACCAAACCAAGTCAAACCAAACCACTAGTCGAATTTTTTTTTCGATTTGACTCGCTCTGCGATTTGGTTTAATTTTTTGTTCGATTTTGTACACCCCTAATTCAAAGGTTTCTAACAGTGGGCTTTGGTGGGCCTTCTTAAGAAAGTTCTTTTGGGTCTGTTGGGTTTGGCCCAAATTGTCTGAAAGTTGAGTTTAACAAAATAAACGATTTACAATAAAAGGTGTTAGATTTCAAATTAGGACATGGCCAGATCAGTTTTAATTATAGTCAGTTCTAATTAAGAACGTAACCAAATTTACTAAATTCGGATAGGATTTAAATAAGATTAATTAACAAGCTTCTTAATTTTAACGAAATAAAATAAATATGAACTAATTAATTTTGAGACGATTTTTTAATATTCATAAAATGTACTATTTAACTATATACATAATTATATAAAAGCATGCACATTATTTAAAAATCATAAAAAGTGACAACTATTTTAAGTTAGACTAGGTTTAGCCACGATTTTCTATACTTCTATACTACTTTAAAGGTGGTAAGCCCTTATAATACACGTATGGCGATATTAGTATATAATAAAAGGTTGGTGGAAGACATGTATTGAAGCCCTTTGATTATATAGAATAGTAGAGAAAATTTGTAAAATCACCAGAGGGCTTTCAAATGAACCCCTTACACTCACGTAGCTTCACACTTGGACATCCTCTAGACCTAAGTTGTGAAAAAAAAATCAATATATGTTTCTATTTCATAATTTTGTACCATTTCAGATTAGACTTTTTATATGTTCCTTGATGTATATCCCTTTGTGAGAGTTAGAGCAGTCAAAATAGGTTTTGTCTGCTAGATCGGCCCAACCCAACCCTTGAATTAAATGAGGTTGGACTTAATTTTTTCAGTCCATTTAGGAACGATGCTTTTTAGCCCAACCTCATTTGGCCCGCTAGCATTGTAGGCCCAACCCGCAAGCCTAGAGGTTAGCTTGTGGGCTGTGAATTTTAAAAATATTTACTATATATATTTTAAGTAATGTTTTATTTGTCAAGATTTTGTCAATAAATATTTTTAAAATATCAATATAAAATCAAATCTAACTTATTTACATATCTTTTACATTTTAGGGTCATTAGTCCACTAAAATTTCTTATTAGCCCAAGCTCCTTTCTCCATTATAACTAATAATCTTTCACCTCTTCTACTTTTGTTTCTATGCCTAATTTTTTCACTTCTCCTTTATTGTCTTGTTTATGAAAATAGCGATTATGCAATGTTTTTTGTTCGGATGAATCTTACGAATGTTGTATCTTGACTATTATATTTTTGTTTTGTAAATATTCACTGAAGTATGTGTAATTCATGAATAAATTTATGTATGTATTAATGTCGTGTTACGTTCATACTCTTTCTAAGAGGGCAATGTTGTCCATTTTTTGGTTGAACGGTCAACCCATCCCAACCCATGGCCCGCTTAGGGTTGGGTAGGATGCTATTTTACGGACCCTTTAATTAAAATGATCAGCCCATTCCAACCCATTTAACTCTCTAGCCCGTTATGATTGGCTAGGGTCAGCCCATTTTGACAGCTATAGTGAGAGTCATAGATTTTCAAAATTGCATATAAACATAGCAGTAAAAAACCAGTAAATAAGATTACTGCATAAAAAATAACAGGAAAAAATGAAAGAAGAAGAAAATTTCCAACAAGAACTTGATTCTCTATATCATTCCAATTTCATTCGCTGTCCCCGGAAGGACAACAAGAACTCTAATCACTTCATGCATCTTTAAAGATTTAATCTAGCATGCTTCATTTTCCCGCTGAGGAGAAAATATTTATTCTTGACACCTGTTTAGCTTTCTCCTACCGAACGTACAATCTGTCTGCGCTCTTCTACTTGATTATCTGAGATGCATGTTAATGTCAGATAGTTAAACATCAATCTAGACTAGAAGGGTGGAAAATTGGTTGGTTGAAGCTGAATAGCAGAGAAACGGATATAGAAAAACTCTTACAGCATGTAGTTCATGGGTGGTTTGGATAGAATGAAAACATAGGATATTTGAAAAAAAAAAATTAAAAAAGAAGCTATCAATAGACTACTATGAAGTGTATTTGTCTACTAATTTTCTGGAGTAACATGAAAATGTCAATGATACAAGCACTCTGGAATTCCCCAATTCCCTAAATGACTAAAGAGAGAGTAATGCTTGTAATCTTCTATATATTCCCAAAGCTTACATGGTGCTTTTACGAGGTTAAAATCTTACATCACATAACAAAAAGGAACATGTGTAGAACAAGAGGGGAGAGATCTTCAGCCAACAAGTAGCAGACGAATTGCCAGTTAGGGGCTCATTAAGGTTAGAAGATTGTTTAAAGCTAAGGAGCAAGGATGTACCTAAAAGAAGGGAGTTTACGGCCCCATGTATAGTGACTATTTAGGAGGGAAAAAAAAGTCAAGGAATTCCAGGTACCAAAAAGAAGCAATAAAGTCTTCTAAGTACCACAGAAATATAATCACAATTCTACTTCCAAATTGGAACGATAATAGGTATTTATTAGCCGCTTACAATGCTTCTTCTACAAGGATTATTCTTGATAACCAGAAAACTTCTACAACTTGTTTTTCCAGAGTACAAACTCCATACAAACTGGTGAAGTAACCTATCAATAAACTATCTGAAAAATTCCTGCAAAACAAAACAAAAAAGGAATAAATAAAATTACCTACATAGCTTTCAATGTAGAAACAGATCAAATATCCAAATCCAATAAACTAAAAGCAGGTTATACAACTCAAAATAAATGTGAAAATGGATCTTCACAGCATACTACCATACCCGCCTACATGAACTACAGAAAGTCTTTTTTCTCAATATGGATTTTGCATGAGTACCCTATGTTCACAAAGTATTTTCTTCTTGTATCTAATGAAAATATAGTGTGAACACGTATCAAGAGAGAACCTACTTGGGCAAGCTCAATATATGTACTTGTAAATCGTTCTTGGGGACACAAAACCACCCAAATGCAGATGTTTGCAAAGACCAAAAAGAGAAGACATTTGAATACAAAGGCATTAGCTTTCTGTATCATCTACTGTAGACCAACAGACGAAAAGAGAAATTTTGGCAATGAAAAACATATATTAGGGGGAGAAAGGGTTAAAGCAATGAATTGTAATGCCAGATATATGATTGATCCATTTAATCCTATGTCATATTAGATATGCATAGGAGAGATCATTGTTTCTCTTTTCTTTTCTTAAATTGGCTTCCTACATGACACAGGCTACCCCACATCTTCTTTTTGTGAACTTGTAAGGTTGTATTCCACAGCATTAAGGATATGCTGGCTACCTCCAAAAAGGGATAATTACAGATTTATCATCTATACAAAGTTGTTAACACCAAAGTAAAGATACTATACAAATTACAATTCCATTTAACTTGGTGGGTGGAATTTGACCTATCTTCAAAACATCTTCCATTTCTTTCTCTCCAGACTGACCACCATACACATGAAAGTATTAGCTTCCACAATCTCTTTTGACTCTTACTGCCTCCCCTCCTAATCCAGCAGCTCAACAGATCTGATGTATGTTCTTGCATTGTCCAATTCATGCTTGTGATGTTGAGAAACAGGTTCCAATGCAGGAAATGATGGTTATTTGTTTCCACTGTCAAGTTGCACTCAAAACAGCCAGAGACCAGCTGCCTTTCTTCTTTAGAACTTCTTGTGTTAGACATGCTCTTTTTATCAATAACCAGAATTATATTTTGGGGCCCCTGCCATCCCCTGTAGTCCAGTCCTCTGTTGTAGGCGTTGTTGACTGAAACGACTCCATCCTTACTCTGTTTCCACAGGATCTTGTTTGTGGCTGTTGTTGTTATATTCATTCCAGCTGGTTTTCCCAGTAGCGCTGCCACCCTCTCCACCTCCCAGTCATTAAGTAGTCATCTAAAAGATATGTACCATCCCTGTTCTGTCCAACAGTCACTTACTTTAGCATCAGGGTTCTCACAAATTAGAAACAAATCTGAAAAAATTCCCCAAGAAAGGTTTGATCTATCCAGCCATCTTTCCAAAATTTAGTTTTGCTTCCATTGCCCACCTTGATATACATATTTCCTTCCATTTGTGACCATAGGTTCCTGATTGGCCTCCATACCCACACCCCATAGGTTTCAGAGTCTACCCCCACATCTCAGGGATATCCATTCAGTTGGTTCAACTTCTCACCCTTAGTAGGTCCAGTAGTATCTGGTTCTCCAGTTTCAAGAATTAACATTGACTGAATCAGGGTTTGGTTTGGATAGGCTTTTACTAATTCTGATTCTGAAATTCGAATTGGGCTAATTGGGCGCAAAGTTCTCCTTTTCTCCAATTTGGCCCCTGACTCCACAAACCTTGTATTGGGCTGCCACTAGTTAAGCTGGATCCGACAGAGATTTGCCCCTCTCCAATTCTACTAAGTGGATTCTCCTTGTCAAGAGCACACCTTGGGGTATCCATTCAATTGGTTCAATTTTTAACCCTTAGTAGGTCCAGTTTCCAAAGTATCTGGTTCTCCATTTTCAAGAATTAACATTGACCGAATCAGGGTTTGGTTTGGATAGGCTTTTACTAATTCTGATTCTGAAATTCGAATTGGGCACAAAGTTCTCCTTTTCTCCAATTTGGCCCCTGACTCCACCAACCTTGTATTGGGCTGCCACTTGTTAAGCTAGATCCGACAGAGATTTGCCCCTCTCCAACTCTACTAAGTGGATTCTTCTTGTCAAGAGCACACCTTGGGGTATATCTCAAATTAGGAGGTCAATAATAATCTAGAAAACAATTGTTTTATTTGTATACAATGAAAACCATCGTCTTTTCATCAAAAAAATTGTCCAATCCAAAATATTTTGATGCTTTACAAGTCAAAATATCTCATCATCATCCTCTCTTGCTCCTCTACTGCAATTTAGTAGAAGTCATCTTGAGAAGCACTTAAAACTCGGTGCAATGTAAGTTAGTCGTTTTGCCCCATCTGTGCCGCACTACAGTATATGCACCAAGAAGTAAGGACGCATTTAATGCAAACAGATTATTTGAGGAAACACATTGAGCCTAACTCAATCTCGAAAGCTAGTTAATATGTGAGAAATGTCAAAGATCATATAGGGACACACCAATCATTCTCTCAACTAGTGTAAGGCATTTGAATCCCCGTATGCCTAGGGCTGAACATCTGAAGCATGAACATATGACATGGGGGACCACGTTGAATAAAACCTATAACATGAATGTGTTTTGACTCTGTATATCAAAAAAATGAATGTACAATTCTAATACAATGATAAAAGTAAATTTTTATCCTAAATCAGCTTCAAGCTCATAAGGTAAGGATTGACTGATACCATACAAGGAGAAAATAACATGTCCCTACGTATACACTTGAGAGTGGACGTGGATCATCTCTTACTGCATTTCTATATAGCATCACTCTTGTGGTGGAAGCTTTTAAGATGGTTCCGGACACAAAGGACCATTCACAAAAAAAGGGAAGTATGCACTATCACTTGAGCCTTTAGAGGAAAAGGGAAAAGGCAGATCGTGGATGTTGCTTTATTAGCACTTACATAGATATTATGAGGATAGAGAAAAGGAAGATCTTTGAAGGGGAAGAGCTTGTTTTAGTGCACATAAAGCATAGCTTCCCATCTTTAATGTCTTTTTGGTATATACCCATCAGGCTCTTATTTGTATAAAAGATTGGGTGACTTCCCTAGAGACTTCTGTCTTTCTGTAAATTCTCTATTTTTTGGTTACCTCTTATAGAAGAGAGTTTCAGTGTTTTAAATATCCAAAGCAAAGACGCGACAAAATCGCTTAAAGTGAGAAGTGAAGTATGAGCTTACAATCAACAGGAAATTAAAAAATATCAAAAATCAACGAATCTAGTACATTTCATTTTCATCAAAAGAATTTAGTACAATTAAGATTGTTTAGAATTAAAGTAACTTATTTCAGCATCCAGTAATGCCGATACCAATCCAACATCCTCAATGTTGAGGCATAAACGAACTACCGATTCTTAATGGGATCACTTAGTACACAATTTTTTATTTTTTTTATGACAAGGGAAACCCGCAGCCGCTATCCTTTGGATGCGCAGGATAAAAAAAAAGAGACAACAGTTCATTACTCAACACCGACATGAGACTTTAACAGAGCAAAACTAAGGAGACAACAGTCTAGTTCGTTTACTATTCCAATAAAATCACAACACTTCATGTATAAGATATCTAATTTAAATATAGGAACAAGAAGCTTCTCTTTTATGGTACATTGCTCTATCCTTGGAAGCATCATCTTGTTTAAGTGATTAGAAAGAAACATGACACTATGCACATGACAATAAACATGAAGTACAGCACACAAACTTGTAAGATATCTAGTGTGCACTTAATTAACAATCATGTGTTGGAGAAAGAATTGTACAAGCACAATGATACCTCTTATTCTGAGTGAAGCATCTTACAAGTAACTCCGTCTCGCACAAGCTGAAGAATTGCATCCTTCAACTTTATATAGTCATCAACCTTATTGTAAACCTGATGAGAAATCCGAGCATATCCTGTCACGTAGCCATCACCATCCTGTAATTCCTTTATTTCCTCGTAGTGAATTGGGACTTCCACCCCAAAATGGTCACGCAAATGATTTCTCAAATTTAAAGCATCCTTATCGCTGAGAATCCTAAGGTTAACAGGCAAACCAACCATTGCCATACCTGGAGACATGTCAGGGGGGCAGCCAAGCGATGTTCCCCAAGCACTGGCCAACATTTGTCCCATTTCAATCACAGCCTTATGATTCCTCCACCTAATTCCCTCAATCCCACCCTCAAACCTATTTATAAATTCTAACACCTCAGGTATAACTAGCTGAGAGCTGTAGTCTCTCGTCCCTATCCATGCACTTTCAATGGCTAGTCCATTGCCATATTCATGAGACACCACAGGATGGTGTAGATCAGGTGATACAGGTGATTTCCGACAATACAAAAAGGCAACCGATGGAGGACAGAAAAACCACTTGTGCAAGTTGCTTACATAAAAATCAGCTCCAATTTCTTTAACATCGACAGGAACACTGCCAATGGCATGGGCAGCATCGACAAACACTCGTTCAACACCTTCTTCCCTACAAATCTTAACCAAATCACGCACAGGTATGACAACACACGGCATTGATGTAATGTGATCAATGATAGCCAACCGAACCTTCTTTCCGTTCGCTTTCCCCTTAGCCAACGCTTTCCGAAACTCCGCAACAATCTCTTCCTCCGAACGAAGAGGAAACGGCAAATGAACAACGATCACAGAACCACCAGCCCGGGTGACATAAGCCTCAATCGATTTCTTAACAGCCTGAAACGCACAATGGAGCATGACTACAGCATCTCCTTTCTTAAACCGTCCCTCCGCGAAAGCCCATCCAACATGTTGAAGAACGATTGCAGCGGCAGTAGTAGCGTTATCCACAAGAGACACCTCATCCACGTGCTCCGCATTAATAACATCCTTGATAATAGTCCGTGAATGAAGAATCCGCTTCTGAAGATGGTTAAGGAAGAAGTCATCGGGTTGCTGTAGAAAACGGAGCTGCCAACGCTTCTGAGCTGCGATGATGGACGCCGGACAGCTACCGAAGCTGCCGTTATTGATACGAGCTATCCCCGGCTGATGATGGGCGAACTCTTCACGTATTTCGGAATCCGTAATGAGAGAAGACGAGCTGGTGGACAGCTTAGGTTTCTTAGCCAAATGGCTGTGGTCGGAGCCATTAGCTCGGTGGTCATCATCGTTCGCCGGTTCCATTTAGGATCAAAATTCAGGTTAGGGTTAGGGTTTTGGCTCACCGGAAGAGACGAGCTATAGGATATGGAGGTAACTGACTCTGCTACACATTTCAGAAGGATTGTTTAATTATTATTTTTTAAGGATAGAGACGTCGCATTTTGGCAAAATTGAAAATCATTCCACAGTAGCGCTATTTTTTATTTTTTTTTGTTATTACTAGTAATAGTAAAATGCTTGTAACTTCTTTTAAATTCTATTTATGACTTGTGATAATTATAATATATATAGGTTGTTGATAAGTGTTAACCCAAAGTTGGATTCACCAAAATCTGCATCATTTCATGAAAATAAACTTCAACTAGATTGAAAAAGGGAAAGTGCAGAAATAGCCGTTTGAAGGACCACAATTTAAAACATAGTTATATTTGTAAAATATTAAAATTTTAGCCATCTTGAAATTATAGTCCATATTTCAAGTTTGAAGTGTCAAACTTTGGTCTGTCATGTATAAAATTGAACACTTGTATAGGGGAAAACGTGTTTATGCCACGTTGTTCAATAAGAGATAAACGTGTAGAGACCAGGTCCAAAGGATACACTAAGTCTCGATGAACTGACCCCTTGAGAAGGCGCCATAAGGCTTGGTACAGGGAAAAGCGCTCGTGCTTTTGATGGCATGGAGGAAAGACAAAGGAGACAAAAAGGGCAAGAAGTACATGTCCACAAACGATTGTATATCATTAATTTTAATTTTTCTCCTTGGATGACATATTATATAACATTTTATCGTAATTTGGCAAATTCAAGTATTTACAATTGGACATAAATTTCGATTTTAGAATATCAACCCAAAAGTAACAATTTTTGTATCTCCAAATATTGTAACATGTAAGTAAGAACACAATGTTAGAACTAAACACTACCTTATGTTCTCCTCTCAAGAGAATTTAACATGGCAGTAATTATTTTCTCATAATCCTCCTCTTGTAACAACATTTCTCACTAAGGCATCTATAGACAAACTGGAACAGTAAGGATCTCAAGTAGTATATTATAAACAAACACTTCCAAGTTACTTACAATAGATCTGGAACTTGAAGGAAATAGAAACAATACAAAAGCATTAATAAAGATAAAGAAGGTGATGAGGATGAGAAGATCACAGAGATGAGAATAAGAAATTGCTATAACTTATTGCCTACCCTACTCATCCTCATTTTAACTACTTATACTAACTCTCAGTACTTGTCTTACCCTTCACGTGATTTTCCCCAGTCACAACATAATCAATTAATTTCTTAGGCGTAGTCCTCATACGTGTGCTTCTCCTTGGTGCCCCACTCAAGTTATCCAGCTCAGCAGAATGTGGGTCCACAACATTACTCCCTTCCGAATTTAGAACCTTGTCCTCAAGGTTCATAGATGGCAGTGGCAAATCAGAATTTGATTCAGTCAATTGTAGATGAGTCACTTGATTCTTAGGCTAGCCAATACAACGCTTGAGCAATGAAACGTGAAAAACAGGATGAATCTTAGCAGCCTCCGGAAGGTCAAATTTGTAAGCAACTTCTCCTATTTTCTTGAGGACCTAAAAGGGTCCAAAAAAATTGTGCCCAAGGTTGTGGGAAGGCTGCAAGTGTAACGAATATTGGCGATATGGTTTGAGTTTGACATAAACCCAATCTCCCACTTGGAAATGGATGTCAGTGCGCGCCTTATCCACATTAACTTTCATACACTTCTGAGCCTTGGTCAGGTTCAACTTGAGCAACGGTAAAACTTCATCCCTCTGTAACAAGAACTGGTCCACCAGATCACTCGAACTATCTCCCATGACATAGAAAGTTATCGACGGCGGTTTGCGGCCATAGACTACCTCAAAAGGCGTCATGCCTGCTGAAGTTTGGAGGACTGTGTTGTACCAAAATTCAGCCCAAGGCAGCATGGCAACCCAATCTTTTGGAGTGTCGGCCACAAAGCAACGTAGGTACTGCTCCAAGCATTTGTTTAAAGCCTCCGATTGTCAATCGGTTTGTGGGTGATAGGCGATACTCATGGCGAGAGTAGTCACTTGTAGTCGATGGATCTCCTGCCAAAAATCATGAATGAACCTAGGATCGCGATCAGTGACTATGGTGCGTGGAGGACCATGTAAGCGGATGATGTCAACCACAAAAGCCTCAGCCATCGTTCTGGCCGTGAAAGTAGATGGAAGGGAAATAAAGTGTCTGTATTTGGACAAGCGATCTACCAATGTCATGACTGCTGATTTTCCTTTTAAACTAGGAAGACACGTGATAAAATCCGTGGCGATGTCTTCAAAAACCAACTCGAGAATCGGGAGGAGTTGAAGAAGGCCTAAAGGGTGATGGTTGATATCTTTCACCTGCTGGCAGATTTGGCACGTGGAGACAAAAACAATCACATCTTGTTTCATGCGTTTCTAGTAGAAATTAGAAGCCAAACGATGGTATGTTCGGGCAACTACAACATGCCCTCCAATGGACAATCCATGAAACTCCAATAGCAATTATTGGCACAAGGAAGAGCTTAAGGGAATAACCATAGGCCCATTGTAAAAGATTAACCCATCATAAATACAATAAGTTGGAACAGAGGTAGAGCTCGTGAGAATAGATTGCTTTAGAGCAAGCAACTCAGAGTGGCTGGTATTAAGGTGTCTTAATTCAATAAGAAGAGTGGGCACACTATTAGAGAGTGTCATGTAAATAACATCTTGTCACGACTCGGGAGTACCTCCTAGACGTAACACAGTGTGCTTGACCCCGAAGGGGTTTCACACTGTAACACCCCGACTTTTCAAAACGTCTAAATTAACTCGTATCTTCGTGGAAAGACAAGGAGCGTGCGTAATAAATTAAGAATGATGTGGTATGCCCTATTTTAAGTGTTCAAGTGTTGCATCTAAAGTTTTGAAGTTAGGTAAGTGGCAAAATAAAAGTTGGCGGAAGTTATCATAAGTTCCTTCTTAAAGATTTCTCTGAAATTAGGGTCAAATGTCTTGGAGGTTTTCTCCCAATCTATAAAGAGTTATGGGGCCCACAAACTATTGAATCGAAGGTCTACGAGTCTAGTTTCCAACGCATCAAACCGTTCTTTCATACGACTTCAGAATAGAGAGATATTCGCATTTTCGTGGGACTGCGCAAGCAGGCACGTGAGGTGGGGCCCTAGGTCGGTGGAAAGTTGTATATATCTTCTTCTTCGAGTTTTTTCTTCATTTTAAGCTAAATATACAGAGAAAACATAGAAACCTATTTTTAGGATCAAGTGAAATATAGATTTTCTCGACGTAAGTCCTTGACGAAAGTTGTTCTACGCGTTGGGCTCATCATCGTGGTATAATTTGTTTTATCGATTGCGTAGCATATCACATTTTAGCGTTGGGACAGCAGGGGTTTGAGTATATTTGATGGTTTTGAGGTGAATTACGAACCTAAGATCGAGGTAAAACCCTTCTTTCATCGACTCTAGCTTTTATAAGCAGCAAATAGCAATTTGCGACAGAAATACATATGTTTTATTGTATTGTCATGGTATCTTTTATGTTGTGTGTTGATTATGGTCCTACCTTGTTATAGTATCGAGGGAGTTATGAGTTAAAGTCTTTAGGCCACGTGAATTTAGCGAAAAAGGTATGTTAAGGTTATTCTCTTTCTATGGCATGTTTCCTTAAAGCTTAGGAGCAATGTAATTAAGTTGTTATCGTTGTTATACTTATAGCCATTATTGTTGATTGTTGGCTGCTCAAGTGCGTATAATCCTCTCTTATCGGGATTCTTATTCAGTAGTAACATTCGTATGTGGGACACGACTTAGAGGCTATTTGTATAGGTTGCCTATAAGTAAATTGCTCACTTTTAGCTGTTGGATTGTTATTGTTGCCTTTGGGCCATTATTGTTAGCTGCAGGAAGGTGATCTATGCCTAGCAGGACTATGTTCTGCCTACAGGGCTATATGGATGCCTAAAAGGGCTATGAGTTGCCTACAGGGCTATATTGATGCCTAGAAGGGCTATGAGTTGCCTACGGGGCTATATTGATGCCTAGAAGGGCTATGAGTTGCCTACAGGGATATATGTTGACGCCTAAGAAGGTTATGTGTTTCCTACAGGGCCATGTTGTTGCCTAAGAGGGCTATGAGTTGTCTATAAGCTATGTTGATGCCTAAGAGGGCTATGTGACTGCCTGCGGGGCTAGGGGACTACCGATATGGGTATACAGGCTGATTGGCACCTTCCGGGCTTATGGGGGCCTGAGTAGGTGGTCTTGTGTGCTGTTTGTACCTACCGAGCTTATGGGGGCATGGTTAGGTTGTTGTTTTATTATTTTTGATAAATTTAGATTTAGAAGCAGGTTAGTACAATTATCTTATCCTTAATTTATTTATCAGATTATTCCAGTATATCAGGATACCTCATCATAGTCTATTGTCTTTCATACTCTGTACATTATTTTGTACTGACGCCCCATTGCCTTGGGGGCGCTGCATTCATGCATGCAGGTCCTGATAGATGACCGAGTAGACCTCCATATTAGCAGGATTGACTTTTATCCGATTGGTCAGCCCCTTTCTTCCGGAGCTGCCAGAGTTGGGAGGTTTGTTATCTTTTGTTGTATATATTCTCATGGGTAGGCTGGGGCCCTGTCCCACCAATCTTTACTACTCTTAGAGGCTTGCAGACTAGTGTGTGGGGTTTATAGCTACGTTATGGCCATGCTGGCCTATGTTGTTGGTTTGCTGAAGCTTGTGAGCTGTTTGATGTATTGTATTGATATTTACCTGTTTTTAGTTTTGGTATAGATATCATGGTGGCCTCGACGGCCCAATCAGGATTTCTGTGCTAGTTGAATATTTCTTTATATGAACTCTTGGGAGTAGCTGGTTCTTTTGTAGATCTGTTGACAGGGGCCTTGCCAGCTGAGAGCTTAGTTTTAAGCCGAGATATATTTGTTTGTTTTCTTAATTGCATGTGACTGCCATGTGCTAGTAGCAAATGGTTCAGCAGGGTCAGCTCGGGCCTGAGTTTTGGCTTTAGGAGTCAGTTGCGCCCTTTGAGTTTGGGGCGTGACACACACAAGCCTCTAGCATCATCATTACATAAGAC